TTTTCTTATCAGTTTTGTATATTAGGGTTGTGTGTTACACCTAATGTTGTTAAATGAATGTTTATTGCATTATTTCAGTTTCATGTGTGTTACCATGATGGTGTTTAGCATTTGTGTGAATGACACTGTGCACCTTCTATATATGTTATTATTTAAAAGCTGCTTGAGAAAAATCATGGAAATACCATGACACTTATCTATTTTAGATACAAATGAGTGCCCATGTTTGTATCATAGTATGAATTTAAAAGGAATATGATTATAACTGATAACAGCCAACATAACAGAATTAATAAAAATATACTTATTCATACAATAATCTTTATACTATTATACTAACAACAAAGTAACATTGCATTACCTTCTATTTTGGAAAAGGTTACCTGTAAATACCATAATACACAAAATAATAATTTACCTTATAAATACTGTGGTTTATTATGGTAATCATTTAGTACCCTGGCGCATATTAAAGCACCATGGTTTTACCAACACTGTACCATGGTACTTCCAAAGTAGTTTCGTAAGACTTGGAGCATTTTTAGTTCAAATAATTTAGTTCATATAATTCTTTATTACAGCCAGATGGAATGTTATTGCACGAATTTATTAGAACTATTTCGCACTGCATTCGTGTTGAAACCTCACACTTTTCATTGCAGACTTTAGTATATGATCGCAGTTTGAGACTCTGCAATTTCTCCGTTTCTTTTTTTCAGGGTAGGATTTAAATATTGAGATATTAAAGAGATCTCATTTGTGACTTTTCTTTTCTCAGGTGAAAACATCATGCAGCAGCAGCAGCAACAGCCTGTAGTTCTGTGTAAGAACTAGATAATCTGCTTTATTAATAAATGATGTATTGTACCTTTCTAAGCAGTTTCAACACACCGATGGCTTGTTCCACCTTCTGCTCCTTCAGCAGGGTTTGGATCTCCCGAACCCAAGCCACTCTCCGGACATACGGGCTGGGACTGGATTTGCGCAGGATTCCGGGGAGCTTGTCGGACTTGAGCATCAGTGAACTGAATAAAAACTCTCCTCTTCCCCCTCTCCTCTTCTCCACATCCCGCTCATGATGCTGTCCCCTCCGAAAGAAAGTCGTCTGGCTGTCCAAACTACTTTGTCTGGTCAACTTCGATCCCATGCTTCAACTTCCCTATTTCAGTATCAAATAATACAAAGATTATTTTCATAAAGCATGAGTAAAGTAAACCTCATAAGCTCTCTTTAGTGAGTGCGCGCTCATAATTACACTTCGTCGTGTTCAGTTGCTCGTGTAGAATCAAATTGATCAAGTAAAATTCAGATTGAGCGCACGAAATCATTTAAATGTCACTTTCTCCGCGTTTCTCGTGCCCCTGTGCACCTCCGCTGTGTTTGTGTTCTTCCAGGCTTCCCCACATGCCACGCCCATATCTCAATCGCTGTCCAATCAGAGCGCTCGATTTCCACATGTGTTTACAGGAGACTCGGCTCCGCCCACTTTCAACAGCTCAGTGTTTGTTGGGAAGCCCTCTCTGTCCTGTCAGCACGTAAACTACTGTATTGGTATCGGGTTACTAAAAATTCTGTAATAGTAACCATCAATGCAACCATAAAACGAACAATTTCACAGAAATATTTCTAGTGATTCACACAAATAAACCTTGTTATCGAATGACAGTATTAAAAGATGTAAAACGGTACGTGGTTGTTCAGAAAATACGCGTTTTAATTTCTCGCTAATGCCTTAATCTGTCACAGATTAATCTTAATCTTCGCACGAAGGTGCTGAATTTAATACAGAAACTATAGGATGCATTTTCTTTTTGTTTTCTGTAGCCTATGTGTTTTACCGAAAAAAAAACCCCGCTCCAAACAATTCGGCGAGTTAGTGAGACGTCCGAATGATTCAGACGGAATCGAATCAGATCGTTTGAATCATGACAAAGAACCGATTCAGTAAAGTGATTCACTCGCGAATAGGTTAGTTGCGATTCTGAACAGAGTCGACTGGAAATACGAACACGCGACTAGTTGCTGTGAAAATTATTCTCGTGTCGGCCTTAATCAGTTTTATTTAACTAAGCTTAAGTAGGCTAAACAAAGCAGTTTGAACTAAACGCATAGGCCTTCTGAAATTAACCAAAGATGGCGTCGTAGGTTGTCGCCATGCAGTGTTTTGATTTGTACATGGTACCAACAGTAGGCTAGTTTAAAGAGTATGGTTAGACTTCTGTTAGCAGCTAAATGTGCACAGTACAAATCACTCCTTATGTAGCTAAATCATATAACTGCCAAAAAATAGTACAGAGACATCTAATGATTCAAAATCTAGATATTTGGATTTCTGGGCATGTACCATGGTGTTTTTTTTGGACATGCTCACTGGAAGTGTGTGTTGAGTAAAGGCATTGCAGAGGCGTGTTAGACCAGTAAACAGAGGTTAGATGTGGATTATTATTTTTTTTTTTATGTCTACATTATATGGAACATTAACTTCCCATAGTTAATCATTCACTAGAACTAGGCAAATATAATAGATTACAACTTGAACGGCTTAACCATTCAAAGATTACATGCGTGAATGCAAGTGATACAACAAAAAGCACCATGTAGCTGTGAAAAGTTTGCTAGTGTTGTTCAGTGTTGCCAATTTGGGGATTTTGTCGCCAAATTGAGCTACTTTCCCATTGTAGCTGCGATTTTGTTTTGCGACAAGGAGCTATTTTAGCTATATTTAAATAAAACTAGCGATTTTTTTTGGAGATTTTTAATTTTTTTACTTGGCCACACAGGTAGGCCCGTGACCTCTCACGTTTGCTCTCAATCATGCCAGTAACGTTAGGCGATACGCGTTCGACTTGAAGCACGGCTACAGACGGCAGTCAATGAGAGCAGGCACTTGCAGTCGAGGGCGGAGGTGAAAACGCAGCCGTCAAGCCGGACATTTCTGCTCCCGTTAGTGACGCTCACGCGGTGTAGGAATACTCTATCACAGATGAAGTGAATTAAATGCAATATTTGTCAGATATACAGACGTTTCAGAAGCGTTTTCATGAGCAACAGATATCTACTGATTATATACTGCTTAATACATCGCCATCTGTTTAAGAATAAAGTTCAATGTAAATATATACTATTTAAATATTAATAAAGTGGGGGAATATATGCTTTCATCAGTGTTTTATGATAAACGTGACTCAATATATCATTGCGACTACAGTAAAAAAGCATTTACTGTTCTAAAAACACAGATTTGTGGCTATTATTGGAATTGAAAAGGTTAGAATAAACCCGAAACACAGGTGATAGTTGTCATACGGTGTGTAACGCTCCTGCAGCCGCTCTGGAGAAACTGCGCCGACTGAGTCAGCGCCTGCCAACGCACACCACAATTTCATTATAAGCATCAATCAAGATGCCGGAGAAAAAAATGAACATCTTGTTTTAACCACGAACACAAAAGTTATGCCACAATTCATGCACAGTCATGTCAACCAGATACTGAGAGACACACAGTGCATCATCGTGTCATGTGTGCTGGGATGCAGTACTTTGCACTTACTTTGTAGTAATAGAGTGTGTTGACTGAAATAAGTTTGTATGAATAAAGTTTTTGTTTTTGGAGAATCATAATATCTCTTATCTGTTGTATTTGAGCGGGACAGGGATGCACTTTGGTGACACATAAAACAAATTCCCAACATTATGTGTCTTACTGGAAGTGTGTGTTGAGTAAAGGCATTGCAGAGGCGTGTTAGACCAGTAAACAGAGGTTAGATGTGGATTATTATTTTTTTTTTTATGTCTACATTATATGGAACATTAACTTCCCATAGTTAATCATTCACTAGAACTAGGCAAATATAATAGATTACAACTTGAACGGCTTAACCATTCAAAGATTACATGCGTGAATGCAAGTGATACAACAAAAAGCACCATGTAGCTGTGAAAAGTTTGCTAGTGTTGTTCAGTGTTGCCAATTTGGGGATTTTGTCGCCAAATTGAGCTACTTTCCCATTGTAGCTGCGATTTTGTTTTGCGACAAGGAGCTATTTTAGCTATATTTAAATAAAACTAGCGATTTTTTTTGGAGATTTTTAATTTTTTTACTTGGCCACACAGGTAGGCCCGTGACCTCTCACGTTTGCTCTCAATCATGCCAGTAACGTTAGGCGATACGCGTTCGACTTGAAGCACGGCTACAGACGGCAGTCAATGAGAGCAGGCACTTGCAGTCGAGGGCGGAGGTGAAAACGCAGCCGTCAAGCCGGACATTTCTGCTCCCGTTAGTGACGCTCACGCGGTGTAGGAATACTCTATCACAGATGAAGTGAATTAAATGCAATATTTGTCAGATATACAGACGTTTCAGAAGCGTTTTCATGAGCAACAGATATCTACTGATTATATACTGCTTAATACATCGCCATCTGTTTAAGAATAAAGTTCAATGTAAATATATACTATTTAAATATTAATAAAGTGGGGGAATATATGCTTTCATCAGTGTTTTATGATAAACGTGACTCAATATATCATTGCGACTACAGTAAAAAAGCATTTACTGTTCTAAAAACACAGATTTGTGGCTATTATTGGAATTGAAAAGGTTAGAATAAACCCGAAACACAGAACACACCGGGTTGCCAGCTGAAAACGCCACGTATTTGCAGCCATGGAAGCCAGCAAACGAACTGGGTCAGAGATCAAATTCTACCGACTTGGCATCCATCTAAAAATGCTCTATGATGCCTTCCTACCTTGGAAGGCATCAGATCATGTCCGAATCCAAGACTGTTTAATTCTTACCTTTATAGTCTGAAAAGTCCATTGTTGACATTTACATAGCAAATATGCAAATAGGAACATTGGCCCAGGATTTAGGAACGTACAGTGTAAAATTAAGTATATGATTTACTTTCAGATAAGGTGGCATAAAAACATCAACAGGCAGTCTATATACATCAGCAACAGAAAACTAGACATTTGCTGTCGCATGTTGCAGGAAAATGGTGCAGAAGTCTACTGTGGTGGGCCTCACCTTGCTGCTGCTGGCTGCAGTTGGAACGTTTTTGGCCGTTTTCTTTTCGGTGCAGGGCAAGAAGGCCTCTCCTGAGCCTGAACCTGAAAAGGGTTACTTCAAGGCAGCGGTGGCAGCAGATGCTGGGACTTGCTCAGAGATCGGCAGGTTTGAGCTCTGTTCTCTCGAAATGCACATTCACTTTTTGCCATCTATGACCTGTAGTTTTTGTGCAATTGAAATAAAATGAATCCATTAAGACCCCTTTACATCAGAATTTATATTTTTGTAAATAAACAGCAAAGCTGTAAGGAAGGCCATATGAAGAGCACACCTAAATGTTTGTTAGGTAACCTATTTTTCTGAAAGCCAACCAAGATAAAATGTAAAAGTTTTGTCAGGTAACTTAAAAATGTGCTGCATGAAGTGAAATCCACTTTAATTGGTTTTATGTAAGTGAAAACTATTATTTAATACCACTGAATCAAACTGAGCACACCAATGATCATCATTTTAAAGGTCACATCTAGTAGAAATAGATCCTTAAGACACGACACCAGAGGTGAAAAAATATGAACTAATATGTATCATCATACTTCCCAATTGATTAATGTTAATTAAATATGCAAATTAGGCATCACCTAATTAAATAGGCGTTCATTTGCATACATTTCAGGATCAAAATTCTTGTTTCATTTTGTAGGCATATTAGTTGAAGGTTTTTACAGAGGAGATTTTGGATATCTCTTTTTATCACTCCATAAATCAGAAAATATTGTCATGATCCAGGAATAAAGGAATGAAATGTTTTATAAATCAGGTGAATGATATATGAACAAATCCCTCTGTAAAAACATTAGGAATATAGATCTCAGATTTGTGCAACAGAAAAAATGATGTACTGTAATTACAAAATCTACAGATGCTAATGATAAAGATAAATTGTAATAAAATGAAAACACATATTGCACTTTTTTTGTCAATGCATAATATATCTGTAGTATATTTGTACTCAAAAATATAGTATATATATATATATATATATATATATTTTTTTTTTTTTAGTTGGTGCATTCTGATATTTAAAATGATATAATCAAGGTTGCATGGCAAATGCCCTCTCTGTGTGTCCTCCAGGGATATCCTGAAGAGAGGTGGTTCCGCTGTAGATTCTGCCATTGCTTCTCTGCTGTGCGTGGGATTGATGAATGCCCACAGCATGGGCATCGGAGGAGGGCTCTTCTTCACTATTTATGATGCCAAAACAGGTATGCAGTCAGTATTTCCTGTCTGATTCAACCTGACACACCAGTCTGCAGTGTCTGTGTGTATATAAAGAATTTCTGTGCATATTTTAAGGATCTATTTTTAAAATTAATTAAAACAAATATTTAATATTATATTTAATAATATTTGCAACTTTTATTTTTTTGTTTTTATGCACACTGGATACATATAAAATGTAAATAATTATAAATATAAAATGTAATGTGTGTGTGTGTGTGTGAGTATGTATGTGTGTATATATATATGTATGTGTGTACATGTGTGCATATTTGTTACACTGCATAAATGTAATAATTGTAATTTAATATAAATAATTTTATATAAAATGTAAGTTGTATATATACCAGTCTGCATGAAGAATTTATGCATGTAATTTAAAGATCTATTTTTATAATATTATGTTTATTTTTAATATTTAATATTATTCACATTTATTAAAAATATATGTATACAGTATATACATATAGATAGGTATATATGCATTATTTGCAAACAATATTTTTTTGTATTTTTATGCACACATTGTAATATTTAAATTTATTTTATATTACTTATGTTTTATATTTATTTATGTTTTTGGATTTATTTTTAGATTTATAGGTTTATAGATTATTTATTTGATTTTGCAGGAAAAGTCGAAACCATCAATGCACGTGAGACGGCTCCTGCAAATTCAACCAAAGACATGTATGGAAATAGTACGGAACTTTCCCAGAAAGGTATCTATTAACTACATTACATCAACTGGGAAAATCATTAGTGAAACAGGATTTACACAATGAGTGGCCTCGTGATACAGTGCCAGCATGGAGAGATAAGCGTCCAAAACTATAAACACAATTTCAATCAATAACTCACAGCAGATCAGGCTCTATATGGTTAATGTAGAACTTTTCGAGGAAAGCCATAAAAATACAGAGTTCTGGCATGAAACTCTAGATGGTCGTGTGCGAGAAACACTGGTACACACTCAAACAAGATCATAGGTGACTTGTGAATGCATACAAAGCTTTCCATGCTGGATTTTAAATTATTGGTGCACATATGCTTATTATGTTATGTTATATGTCATTTTTATTATTGTAAATGTTTATTTTGTGGTCATTTCAGCCATAGTCTGGAGCCCTGAGATGAACAAAATTCTCTTATTTAATGTTTCTAATACTTTACCCTGGGTTAGTAATTAAAGGTGATGTGTGTGTGTGTGTGTGTGTCTTTTTTTACATTAAAATACTTTCATTTATATTTGTATAAACAATATATTTATTTTTGTGGCACTATTAAAACATAGGTATAGGGCTTATATCTGACATTATATTTCACGCTTGTAATTTTTTATGTCACAGTGTGACTTTATATCTCACAATGTAAACTTTAAAAAAAAATATATATATATATAAATCTTGCATAGTACTGCATTTTGCGTTATCAAAAATTTTTTTATGATTATTATCGTATTATTATAATGACTATTTTTATCGGGCAATCGACCCTCCTCTGAGGTGAAAACAAGTTACCATATAAACCAATGTGGATCAGCATGAAAATGAACGCTTATCTAAGTTGGTCTTTTTAGCAGCAAGAGGAAGCATCTAGTTGATACTGATTACAGGATGACCGTTAGTTTCCTCATGTGAATGGTGTCAGGGGGAGGATGAGACTTCAGAATGTCCCAACGTCTTTTTTTACATTAAAATACTTTCATTTATATTTGTATAAACAATATATTTATTTTTGTGGCACTATTAAAACATAGGTATAGGGCTTATATCTGACATTATATTTCACGCTTGTAATTTTTTATGTCACAGTGTGACTTTATATCTCACAATGTAAACTTTTTTTTTCAAAAAAAAAAAATATAAATCTTGCATAGTACTGCATTTTGCGTTATCAAATTTTTTTTAATGATTATTATCGTATTATTATAATGACTATTTTTATCGGGCAATCGACCCTCCTCTGAGGTGAAAACAAGTTACCATATAAACCAATGTGGATCAGCATGAAAATTGACGCTTATCTAAGTTGGTCTTTTTAGCAGCAAGAGGAAGCATCTAGTTGATACTGATTACAGGATGACCGTTAGTTTCCTCATGTGAATGGTGTCAGGGGGAGGATGAGACTTCAGAATGTCCCAACTTTTCTTTGCTATGAGCTATTAAAAATCCCTTCACCCTTCGCTCCTGTCTCTCACACCAACACTAACGTGGGCTGTTTGCCACTAATTGGACACAAACCAAGCATGGAAAAATCCATGCAGTCAGCGTGTTCCGACCCTTTCCTTGGGGTTCCACCAGTAAGGGATACTCTGAAGCAGCCTGTCATCTGAGATTCATCAGTTTTGCTTTCTTGCAGCGAGCTGGACGCTCTCCACAGCTCTGTGTCTTGGTCTTTTTCAGACACCCACTCTGTAGCTTTACTGATGAGATACTTAGTCATTAAGTTGCAGCCAGACAGGGCACGGCTGTTGATAAACACTGTTAGCACTTTTTTTCACAATATAGCTTAATTTATTCTGTAGTTATGAAACATCTTCCATGGTGAATCACTCATAATTGTTCAATTATTTCAAATAATGTCTGGCATGAATGGTCGAGACAATTTGGGAAGTTTTCAGACACTAAAACTGGGTCAGATGTCCAATGATAAAATAATAGTTGACCTAAAAATGAAAAGGATGTCGCCATTTACTCACTCTCATGTCATTTCCTAACACACACGAATTACTTTCTTTTATGGAACACAAATTAGATGTTTTGAAGAAAACCGTTTCATTGACATCACAATAAATAACCCCATATTGATTACCCAGCTAAAAACAAAAATTCTCAGAACATTCATAACATCCAGTTTAAAAAAAAATGTTTTTAGAACTTTTTTTAATGTTATGCGAAAATTTGATTGTATCATTTTGCAAACGTTATGGGAACGTTACTTTTGTATGTTCTCTGAACATTCTGAAACAAATAATAAAATGTAAAAAAAGACTAGACGAGCGGTCCACTTTTCAGAAATAAAAAGTTCCAAGATGTAGAAATAACGTAAATAACATTATTAAAGCCCAGGGAACTCTGAATGAGCGTTCTATTAATGTTACTGGAAGAGCGTTCGTATCTCTGAGAGAACCTTGCCAGAACGTTAGCCAAAGTTCTGTGATGTTCTCTGCTAGCTGGGTAGCTCCTCACATAAGGCTTCTGAAGATCTTTCTGTGGCAGTCATCTTGATGATTGGCAGTTCTAGCCATTTATATGACAACAGTTAGCATGTTTGAGTAATCACAGAATTACTCATAGAATGTAGTGAATCTAAGTGAGAACTTATTCTCTTTCCTCAGGTTATAACTTCAGTTCAGACAGTGTCTCCACCACTGAAAATAAAGTCCTCACCTATCATCGCATAGTAGAGGCGTTCCGGTTTGCGTATGCCAAGAGGAGCGTCTTGGGGGATCCAGAATTTCTCAACATCTCCAGTGTAAGTTGTGATGATAGCGATATTTCATTAGAAAAAAATTTAAATTCTGTAATATTCAATGTACTCATCCTCATGTTGTTCTATGGAACACAAAATAAGTGTTATTATTTACTTCCATACTTTCCCCCTTGTATTTTGTCACTTATACTTTTTTTTTTAGAGTTCTATATAGCTTTAATTTTAGTTTTAGTAATTTTAGAACATCAATTTATTATTTTATTTTATTAGTTGCCAATGCAACATTTCTTAAGTTTAAGGCAACATTTTAATTTTTTAAATTTTCGCTATATTTTATTTTATTTCAGCTTTATTCCAATTATCAAAACTGATTTTTTTAATAGGTTTAGTTAACATGAACAACTCCATTTTGGACTGGATTGATATTATGTGGCCAAAATAATAGTTGAAATGTCCTTCAAAAAAGAAGATATTCTTTTGTGCTCTGTAAAAGTCATACAGGTTAGAAATGGCATGAGGGTGAGAACAGAACTTGAATTTTTGGGCGAACGGTTCCTTTATATATCTCTAAACCACAACCAACATGCATTATCTTATGTAAAAATGCTCCCGTGTATCTTCAGCAGCTGTTCACATTGACACAGGCATATGTTAGCCAGCTGTGATCAAAGCCATTACTGAAACCGGCGTGCTGCATCTCACGCTAATCACAGAGCATGAAAATAGTGTGCTATTGAAACGGCTCATTGTGCGTTTGCCCTTTTGATCAGCTGTTCTTTCAAGCTGTAGATTATTGTGCCACCAGCAGGGCCGCAATAATGATCTTCTTGCCTCATCCTCTTTCTCGCTGGCAGTTCATCCAGAACATTACCTCAAAGGACTACGCTGACATGATACTCCAGAAGATCACAGATAATACGACTCAGCAAGAGAGCTACTACGAACCCGAGTTCTACCTTCCCGACGATCACGGCACATCACATGTGTCAGTGGTGGCAGAGGACGGCAGTGCGGTCGCCGCCACCAGCACCATCAACCTATAGTGAGCATTTGCAACATTTTTCTTTGCCAGTTAGTTGTTTTCTCCAACATGGGTATCTATTATGCATTATATAGATACGGATTCAGACATTGATTTGATATTTAAAGGAAAAATGACAAAATTCTGTCATTATTTAGTTACAGAGTTTACACCTTACAGCAAAATCAGCCTATGATTGGCTTACGTAAGCTGGGATAGAAGTTCATTTAACAAAAACGGAATATTTAACATTATATAATAATAATAATACAGTATTTGTAAATGGAATCTTATTCTTTCTCTTCTCCTAGTTTTGGCTCCAAGTTTATGTCAAATTCAACGGGAATTATACTGAACAACGAGATGGATGACTTCAGTTCTCCCTTGATCACTAATAACTTTGGAGTTCCTCCTTCTCCCAACAACTTCATCGTCCCACGTGAGAAAATATGACCACAGCTCGGGCAATAACATACTACCGTACTACTCTGCTGTTTTTGTAGTATGCATACTACAAGCCAAGTGAAGCCATACTTTACATTGATTTTAGAGTTTTATGCACAATGTTTTCTTAACATCATTACATATGGTAAAATCACTGTAACAAAAATATGATAAAGCCACAACAATATTATAAAAAATACAATATTAGTTATAGTAAAAATTGACATGTTAAGAATATCTCACCTTTACCTAATATTTATTACTGAGACTTTGTTGTTGACAAGAGGGCAGATCAAATATAAAAAATAACTACTCTAATAGTCAAATATTAAATAATAATTTAATATTTAGTTTATATATTTATTTAATAATACAAAATAACTTAAAATAGTCATATTAAATAGAATCAATATTTTAAATGTAAATAAGCAAATATATAATTATAAATATCAAATATTGTAATTATTATTTCATTTTAACATATCATTCTTTGCTTGTTCAAATCAGTTCAAAAGATCAATTTTTATTCAAAATGAAAAATAAGTGCAATTATTTCTCAGATGAATGGCAATATACTGTTTCAAATATATATATATATATATTTTTTTTTTTTTTACAAATAGTAAGCAAGAGTTCAGATAAAATATTCAAATTACTACTTTAAAATGACTACAAAATTAATATTCAAATACCGCTTAAATATTAAATAATATTTAAAATTATTAAATATAATCAGTATTTTAAATGTGTATATATATCAAATACATTCATATAAAAATCTAATATGATAATTTTAAATAAATGTCATTTATTTATAAAATCATTTATTTTCATTTCTCATTCTCGACTTTTTCAAGTGAGTTCAAAAGATCAGAATTGGATTAGAAGTGCAAAATAACCATGCTTATTTCTGAGATGAATGGCACTTACAATGTTAACACAATTACATTATGCTGTTTAGTAAGCATTATACTATGTATACTCTGCAGTATGCATAACGCTAGTACATTCTTTCAAACACAGCCATGAACTTCGGTGTCTTTGAAGATTTTGCTTTAAATGTTTGGTAACTCTGTTGCTTCTCATCTTTGCTCAGATAAAAGGCCCATGTCTTCTATGTGTCCTGCCATTCTGCTAGACAAAAACAATAAGGTTAAAATGGTGGTTGGAGCCTCTGGAGGAACAAAGATCACCACAGCAGTGGCCGAGGTGCACTTTCATTTTATTTTAGCCTAGATAGTTGTGCTGGGCATAGTTCAGACCTTATAAACTCATACATAACTGACATTTTCTGCACAGGTGATCTTAAATGCACTGTTCTTTGACTATGACCTGAAGAAAGCGATAGAAGACCTGAGAATTCACAATCAACTCAGTCCAAACACCACGCAAGCTGAGCCTGACTTTGACAAGGTGGGTGAATCAATATTATACAGGTTTCATTTTAAACAATATGACTAGATATATGACTGAGATAATGTACAACATCTCCTCTGTGTTGTACACTGTAAAAAAAATATATATATTTTATGGTTAAAAATGGCAGCTGTCGTTGCCGAAACTTTACCGGATTGAATGTAAATTTACAGTAAAAAAAAAGAACGATATTTAATTAACTGATATAATGTTAATATCCAAATCTACTGAAGTACCTGTATAATACACTGACAACCACCATAAAAACACAGGTGGTAATGAGAAAGCCACATGATGAATCAAAGTTCAACACAAGCAGTTTTTCCACAAGCTGAGGTAAATATTAATATATAGAAGATCATTATATATAGAAGAATATTAGAAGACAGTTATACACAAAAATACATAACACCATCTTGGTAACACACAACACTAAAATAATGCAATAAACATGCAAATCAATAAACTAAGAATAAACAGTTGGTTCGATGAAAAACAATCAAATGTGAGCTGTCACAGAGGGACTGTCAATTTGTTTTTTACTGTAAATTATGAGATAGCTTATTCTTTATTACTTCCAAAAATTGAAAATGTAACAGTATTTAAATGTACTGTTACATTTTATTACATTTTTTTCACTCTATATAGTAAGGAAACAATGTTAATCAATTAACAGTTTTTTACTGTATTTTTACCACTAAAATTAAATTTCTTTACAGTGTAGGTGAGTGTTTTTGAGTGTTGAGTGGTCACATTTTGCCCTAAAATGAAATTATCGTAACCACAGTGTAGCTAATCAGCTCATGGGGAAATATGAATAATTAACCATAACTAGTTATAATTAACTATTCATATTTTAGATCCACTGTAGATATTTAGCTGACCACTCAGGGTCAACCGTCTTGTCAATTCTAAGAACGTTAATTTCCTGGTTAAAGGAAATAACTTTCTTACTGTACAATTCTATAAGTTTGTAACGTAAATCTGCATGATTATTGACTCCGGTTATGAGTAAACAATGAACACGCCAAGTGTGATACAAGTAAGGTTTTATTAACTACATAAAAACTTAAACTAGTCTAACATTTAATTTTGGAGTGAAACATCACCCGGATATTTTCTTGATATTTTCTTTGGTTGTTCTGAATACACATGTGGTTTTGGCTAAGCACAACTCACTCACTATCATCCCACAGGCCATTTTGGAGGGTCTTGCCATGAAGAACCATGTAATAGAGGTGTTGAAGTCCATGGGCGCGGTGGTTCAGGCCGTGGTGCGGTACAGTGCTGGCCTCAGCGCTGAGTCAGACCCCCGTAAGGGAGGATATGCAGCTGGGTACTGACATCCGACTCAGCGATCCGAGTCTCCGGTCCATCTGGAGGCAATGGAGATGCTACTTTCGAGACCCCAAGGACACTTTCCCCTCATGCTGCTCTGAAACAACCAAGTGCCTCCATCAGAGATCCTACAGGCGAATCAGCGCCGGACAATCCAAAGCTCCGGTAATGTTGATCTCTGCACAATCCATATTCAGTAAAAGAGGAATAAAACACATTCAAATACACTCCCAGTGGAAACACAACATCATTGTTTCTTCCAATGACATCAGTTAATCTCTACAGATCTACAGATGTTACTGCGGGGTGGTATGGTATTTATTTCTGCAAATAAACATGTTGTGATGGCGATTATGAACTTTCTAGCATGACTTCTGTCCATACTGAGATTTACATCCTGGCAAGAGACATTTTTTGTTCAAGACTTAGCAGGAGCATCTCAGGGGAGGAAGTTTTAATCAAGCTTCTAATAAGAGCTGAAGCGTGAACAAGAGTTGAAATGCTCGTTTTAATGTCCCACGAGTATGTGGTCCTACCCACAGGCACCGGCCTAACATCAAGCAGCATCATTAATGCTGAAGTTGTAGGGGATAGAGATAAATCACATAAACAGGCCTTAATTAAACTTTTAAACTTGTACTGAACTGTAGAAAGTAACTGATAAAATGTATGTTCAGTTTATTAGATTAAAGAAAGTCAACCCAAAATAACAGTTCTGTCATTCCAAACCTCTATGGATTCATTCTTCTGTGGAACACAAAAGAAGATATTTTGAAGAATGTTGGTAACCGAACAGTTTTGGGTTCCCTTGGGTTCTATAGTAATTTTTTTCCCATACAATGGAAGTCAGTGGGACCCAAAACAATTTGCTGTCCAAAATTATTCAAGTCTAAAAAATATACGGTGTATAAAACCATGTAATTAGTTGGCTAACGATTAGTGATGAATTATTAAATGTTATTATTTAAACTGAACTATTAGAATTAATTATTAAAGTGATTGATTATTTTTCCCCCCTAAAATGGCAGCTGTGAGGTAAATTGTGAAAGTGGCTGAATTAAAATGGCATCCAAAGGCAGGAATTACTGTTAGAAGTACTATTAGTATAAATACAATTGCAAAATGTTGATTTGTTTCTCAAAATTAAAATATTCTGAATATTAATGCTTTTTGGCTGGTTTGTGGAAATTTGAAAAATGTGCAGCAAAATAAGACTTTGAAGTGGCATAGTGCATTACTAAACAGTCCCCCCCCCCCCCCCCTTTTTTTTTTTTTCCCCTTT